AAAGACTTTATTGATAGATTGTAAACGTTTTGAATATATATCAATTCTAACCACACACGCACACATACTCATATATGTATACAGACAGAAAGATACATAGAAATATATAAACACAGTAATTAATCATTTAACTGAGGTTGAGTGTGACGGGTGCTCAATCAGATGTAAATTAGAACATCTACCTTTATACATTTAAGTACACGTACACACTTTTTATATCAATATGCACACACACACACACACACACACACACACACACACACACACACACACACACACACACACACACACACACACACACACACACACGCGCGCGCGCGCATATATATGTTGTCTTGTTTATCACTGGCGCGTTTGTTGTTATCAGAGACGTGGCTAAACCGTCTTTCTCGGTTGACGGCAGTATAAACCCCTTAAAGCCCAGGATGATGCCTCTTAGGCAAACAGTATTTGTACTGCCGTGTTTAGTCCGTTAACGTCATGATGATTTCAGAGTAGCCAAACGCATATACAGTAGTGATTTGTATAATATCAAGATTTACATTTTAATTCCGTTCTAGTGTCTTATTATACTCAATTTCCTGAGAATACTTATGTACAATGGACTGAGGACAAGTATTTTTATGACAACATAATTATGCAAATAAACAAACAAAGTATACATAACAATGGTATTTATTGTATTAAAAAGAAATAAAAGTAAAACAGAAATTTATGGCTAGGCGATTATCAGGGGAGACTATGATATAATTAAATTTCATGGGAGACTACGATATTACAACATTATCGCCCCATTAGTGACGGAGAAGGAGGAACGATACAGATTTCTTTAGTTGAACACACAAAGGCTAGACATGATTTGTGAGGTAGTTAGGTACATCTAGCAAATAAGCAAATTTAACACGATCGATGGCGATTGCGTCATAAGTACCATTGCGGTTGATGGTAACAGTCTTCCTTGTGGGCCTAAGAACTTCATATGGTGGCTGTAATGGACGTAGGATGGAATTTACTCTGACGAACACATGGTGCAGTCATGGAGATCCTGGCTTACGAAAGACTTGCTTGAAGACAGCTGCCGTGGCTGAATAGGTCAAAGCTTGGACATCACATCCCTGAGCTTGGTTGCATTCTATTAAATGCCGAAACCGTTTGATTGCTTTATAAACAGCTTAAAGTCCTCGATCAAATTTACTTTAGTTCCGTTTAGCTTTATTTAGTTTCGTTGAAAAAAGACTAAAGGATTTCATCTACCTTCCACATATTGTTGCAGAACTGCTCCAGTGCCAATTGGGGGCATCACTAGTGATTGAAGTTTGGGCATCATGACTGGGAAAGCTGAGTGTAGTTACTGAACTGAGAGCTTGCTTAGCAGCATCATAAGCAATATCCAGACAAGTCCAGACAAGAGCAACTGACTAACCTCTCTTGCATGGTCTGATTATAGAATACAGAGGTTGGAGAAGTAGAGAACACTTCGGAATGAATCTGTTGTAGTAAATCATCCGTGTAATTGGCTTAGGAAACTTGAATGGCCTCATATTTGCCAGGAAGTGGAATGATACCTGCTGCAGAAACTGTGTGGGCGAGAAAATCAACAGGCGAAACTCCATACACACTTTTGTCTTCATCAATTTGGATACTGTAATCATTCAAATGTTTGTAGACTTGCACTAGATGATCCTGATGTTCACCAGCATCCATACTGGCGATAATTTTAAGGAAAGACTTCCTCCATGAAACGCTGGAATGTTTGTGCAGTATTCTCTGGTCCAAAAGGCATCTGGACATATTCATACAAGCCAAATGGAGTGATAATGGCTGTTTTCGGGGTGTCTGAAGGGTGGAATGGTATTTGGTGGAATGCTTTAACCAGATCAATTTTGAAGATGGAATATCCAGAATGTTGTGAAGTAAATTCATGAATGTTGGGAATTGGGTAACTATCCATCAGCGTCTGAGTATTGAGAGCTCTCTGTAATCACACAGGGCCATAGTTTTCCATTCTTTTTAGAAACGACATGCAGTGTAGATGGCCAGGTGCTACAGCTTCCATGGAGCAAGGACTCGAACTCTTCTTTTACTAAGCAATATCGTTCTGGAGGCAATCGACGAGACTTAGCATATGTAGGTCGACCAGATGTTTCGATGTGATGAGTAAGGGAATGCTTTATAGGAAGGGTTGCAGAGAATGGCTGAGTAAGTCAAGGAAAGTACTTCAGCAGTGATGCAACTGGGTTGTTGGCATCGATTATGGAGATCTGCAAGCTATTTCCATGTAGAAGTTGAGCATTAACCCATTGCCGCCGGGGAAAATTAACAAAAAATGGGGAAAATGCTGTGCCTATTTTCTATACTATTTTGTTAAATGTCTGCCCATAGATGGCTCTGTTAGTGCCTGATTTGAAACACGTATTTTTCACTAGTGCCATGAATATCGATGGTGTTATTTTGATCATAAACATTGTAATTTTTATAATGTTTTTTAATATTAGTAACAGCAAAATAAGATACCGTAAAATATTTCGTAAATCAAAGAAAAGGGTGAACGGGCGAGACAGGCGGTACTCGTAACTGGCTCATTGGTGATTTAGTACAAGTGTAGCCATCTATGTGTGAAAACAATTTAACAAGTAA